GTCAAATACATTGTATCTTGGAGAGAAAAAAATTCAAGAAAATAAATTGAAGTACATGTACACATGTAATTAACAAATACAATGCAGAATTTCAGGAGCAGCTTGGATAATATGAAAGTTTAAAAATGAAATAAAAAATATATATAGAGTTACGGATGGAACCCTCGTTACCTTTATAAATATTCAACACTTGCTTTCCACTTTTTCATCAAATCCCCGAATAACAAATTCTTGATCTTTTGTTTCACAATTCCAGAATATCTCATTTGGTATTTAAAAGTTTATTTCATCGATGGTGATATCCTCTCATAATTATGGGTAGGCAGGCCTTAGGGCTACAGTGTTTAAGTACACTTTTGTTTACCCTGGCCGGTTTGGAATGTTATATTGTCCTTGTTTTCTGTCCCTCTATCTCCTCTTCCCTGTCAAACTGTCCACCCTCCCTTCCCTCCCCCTCGACCCATTCCTTCTCGCATCCTTCAGTCTTGTCTGGTCATACTTTTTCAATTTCCAATTTTGTTTACTTTTTGATATATCTTTGCTTTGTCATTGTACTTTTGTTCACTTGTTGGCCGAATAAATAATAATAATAATAATAATATTATTACAGATTCGTCTCAGGATTAACATATCCCCATATTGAATTGTTGCTCATGAGATACAGCTAAAACTAATTACTTCGTAAATGCTGTACGTGTACTGGGTAGTTTTCCTGATAAACCTTACTGGCAAGTTCATGTGGCTAATTTCATCACCGTAATCCCATTTTTGTAAATAAAACATACTGTTCATTAACATACTGTGCCATTAATAAACCATAACAAATAACACACCGAACACAAAATTGCTGTGTCCATGTGAGCAAATGTATGAGAAACGTGCACGCAATTTCAAACAGACGACTACTCGTAAATTTACAATGTGAACTTTCTCTGTGAATGCTTTGACAATGATAATGAAGTGCACCAATGAGTAATTTATCAACAGCCAGTCAAGCAGAAATTTTCACTAAAACATTTCCTATCCTGTATCCTCAGTGTAAAAATAAATATGGTTTCTATGGTTACCCGTTAGTTCCCATGGCAACATGGTATATCGCAAAACAAATGTACAGATTTGTGCAAATCTATACATGTTATATACTTTTAGAGGTGAGATTAAAATCGGGATATTTAAGAATTTGGTTTGAATTCCACTATTTGGCTTGGATTTTGGAAAACGGGATATTCAAAACCAACCACAAAATATTTATAAATGTATTCCATTGTACACCTTGAAGAGATCAAATAGATTTTGCAAATCAGCTATTTTTTTTTCTGAAAATAACTGAAAAAGGGCCCACACTTTTTTCTTCTGCCTGACGAATTGGAATGTTTTTTCATATTACAGAGGCACATGTTCACGGTAAATTGAATTTTAAATTAAAATCTTTGTTTTATCTTTTGCATGTCTAGTTTTAAATTTCATGTCAATGCAGCTATCACAATACATTAATTCTGAATAATTTTTCAGGCTTTGCCTTTGGTGGGAAAATGTCTACACGATAAAATTCCCCCTTTCAAGATAAAAAAAACAACAACCCAAAATACTGTTTTCATGGCTAAAAACACTGAAAGCACTGGGAAATATGAAATAAAATATTTTTAAAATATCTCCATTTACACCTATTTTGAAATACATGTAGGTATGAAAAAAAAAGTCGGGTGGGAAATAAAATGTAATTTTAAGATTTCTGAAAAAGTTGTCCCTGCTTTTTGTTCCAAGTAGCAAAATTTCTAACATACATGTATGCAATTTTCTATAGTTTTTTCATTATTTATGGTAGCTGTTCAGTCCTGTAACAGTTGCAACAATCACAAAACTCCAGGCGATCCAACTTTCTTTTTTTTAGTTAAATACAATACGTATAGTAAGAAAAAGAAATTCCTATATAGACTACATAGACCTACATACAGTTTATGCCCAGTACATACACAAACAACAAATATATAAATATACCAATTACACATAAAACCCATTTAACATTAATGTTAAACTGCACCAAATTGAAATTTTGTATTTAAGTAGTTGAATCCCATGTGAAGTGTTTATTTCAGAAAGTTTGTTATTTGGCTAATAGTGGGCGGGGTCATGTTTTTGTCTCCCCCTATCTCAATATTCCGGATGATACACTTACAATATCCCAAATGAAATTTAAACCATTGCGTGGCTGAAATCGGTAAAAATGTTGCAACCTGACGACACGTTTTTTTTTTAATAAGACATGAATTTGGGACTGAGAAACATTTCCAATTTTGTTCGGAAATACTTTAAAAAAAATCTTTTTCTTCATAAGACATGAATCTGGGACTAAGAAAAGTTTCCAATTTTGTTCGGAAATGCTTCAAGAAAAAATTCTTGACTCTCCATTGTACACAATAGTGGAAGTGGCGTCACGCTGCAACATTTTTTCCTTCAAATCTTGTATCTCCAGTAACTGAAAGTGAATCTGGTATTATACTTTGTGAAGAGTTACAGTGCGATAGAAGGACACTATTAGTATTACTGAAGAAATGAATTGTGCGAAGGTGTTTCGGTGTTCCCATTCATCCTCACATGTTTTGTTCTCGGCGCGTCTTGTGTAACACTTAAAAGACTCCAGAATTCCTAACGGATGATTCTAATCCAGTGAACAGAAAAGAACATGGGTAATGAATTTTACAACTCAAAACTGCTGTACACAGTATGTACATGTATGTATCAAACAATATTCATTTATACAATGCTGCATGCATTTTATATTTTCCAAGTGACTGAGTTTCTTTAACCCTGCGCAGAGTGACCTCCGTACCGTGGGTACGCAGGTGACCAAATTGTTTGGAAAAAAAATAAAATTGAGGGCCAATGACGGTCACCTTCCATCTAATCCTCATTCAACCCATGCCAAATCAGCTGGTTCAATGAACTTTGCAGCCAGGGCTTCACCCAAGCCGTGTCAACAAACTTTCGACCAGGCCTCCCGGCCAGGTCTCATTGAAACATATACAAACACCTGTAACTTGACACAGCCATCTCCCTTCGTAGCCGCAAACCACAGCCGCCAGTCAATTATCTTTAAAGTGCACTGTCTGGCAACTGCCTGGACACTGTTTGGCACGTGGCTTTTTGTTGTTTTGACATGAATAGGGTCTTGCGTAGTGCGGGGAAGTGGCGAGTTCTGATAAACATTTTTTGTAAACGCTGCGCAGGGTTAAAAAAAAAAAAGGAACATTTCAAAATAATTTTCATACCTTAAAATTTAGATGATGGTGCATCCCTTCTTTTCCTTGAACGGGTTGCCCGTCAGGTACACGCCAGTAAGTAGGGCATCGTTGTTGGCATTGTTCTGACAAAACTGCTGCAAGCTGAAAACAAAAGTGAAATAAAGAAGTCTGAATTCTAAGCACTGTCAATATATTGATATTATTATTACTTTAGGCCTACTTGATTATTTCATATTTTCTGATATCCATATTGCCAATTCGTTAATCATATCAAATTCAAAATATTGAATTTTTGATAGGACCTACTGAGGAATCATATCGAAAATATTAAGACAATGCTTATCGTCAAAATAAATCTCCCGTTTGTGCTTGTAGACCCCACTCTGTGAAATAAAACTCAGCGGCAATTTCTACTTGCTACATCAAAATAAAAATATCATGAAATGCCAAGCGTGTGCACATGAACAGCACATCAAGCATGTCAAGATTTGACGATTTTTCTTTCGGGATAATCAATTCATCGTATGCATGTAAATGAAAGCACAGCCTGTACCAGCAAAATTAAAGAGATTGTCGTGTTCTGACTGAAGTAACATTTTTCAAAAATGCAATATGCAGTCACGGTGTCTTCTTGTGTGTGTCAACATTTTTGAGTGAACGAAACTTTCCAAAAAATTCCATCATCTTTTTTTTATTTTGATTCAATGATTGCACAAAAAATTGCACAGAAATTCAGAATGCAAATTCGGTTACCACCCCCAGGGCCAGGGCCCCAGTGCATTGTGTTCTTGCTATAAATTTAGTAATAAAATTAGTATAATTAAAAAAAAAAATCGTCGAATCTTGTTGTGCACATGCGCAGTTGGAATACCGAACTGGCTTAATCCATCGTATTGCAAATCGTATTCGCCGTACAGTTTGTCAAGAAGAGGCATGATGAAGCAAGAAAAACCGAGTGTTTTCTCCTTTTATACTCACTCTTCAGCTGCTTGGGAAACCTTCATACGTTCCACGGCAGCCTCTCTTCTCAGCTGCTCCACCGTTTTCTTCATCGTCATCTCGCTGCTCGACATCATGTGGTGTTTCTTTTGACAAGCGGTCACCCAAATTCAGCAAAAAAGAATGAGGAACAGAAATGGCGATGGCGTAGTCGCTATTTCCAGCCGCAGCGGCTCTTCAATCGTGTCAGTTCACGCCCTGTGCTGGTTAGCATAATCCTTCTAATAAGTAAATAAAAATCCAAATAAGAAAAATGGAAAAGCAGAAAAATTGTATTAAAAAGGAAGAAGATAAGAAAATTCAATTCATAAAATTTGAGTTACTTTAAACATTTTTTTAAAACTCTATCAGTCTGAGACAATCTTTTTCGAAGGTATTAGATTGAGACCAATTTTGAAATTTTCATGAGGAAATAAGATTTACTCAATGTAAGTGGAGATGTGTGTCTTTGTGAAACTTTCTATCAAAGCACTAATTGTTAAACTTTCAGCCAGCTTGCAATATTTCTTGTCCGTTTTTATTTGCTTCTGGATTGGTTATAAATACACTTTATTTTTTAATTCTCAATCCCATCCTTTGTTTTTATGTTCTCATATGTACGTCTCATATAGAGACTAAGGACAAACAGACTGGTTCTGCTCCTCTTCAGATTCCAAAGACATGTATTTCATGAGCAAAAACAAATATAAGGCTGGGTACCCGACAAAATTAAATGCCACCTTGATAACGACGACTGTTGTGTGTACTGTTACCTAAATGATATGTGGCATTAAACAGTCACAGTGCAATTAATCAGCGTTGCTAGGGCGCCATCACAACCGCTTCAACTTTTCTGATTTTTAGACGAGAAAAACCAGAAGTTGCCGTGGAAATTCTCAAAATATTTCAGAAAATATTGGTAACACTTGTTAAGAAATAACTTTGTGCAGCAGCTCATTAAATCTGACGAAAAAAAAGAGGGTAAGAAATGTTGTTTCTGTGATTCTAATTTTAGTGAATGGTGAACTGAAAATGAAATGAGTAAAAACATTTTTCAATTTCATAGTTCACATTGATTTTCATGACTTTGGTCTTTACTGCATTGCCATTGCATTGCACATTTGCATTGTTGGTGCTGGTTGCAGGCCCAATATTTATTTAAGGCTCAGTAATTATTACACCCCTGATATGACAGACGGTCGATTTGTCTCAACATGCTCAACGGTCGACGGTCGAGTTGTCCTGTCGATGTCTCAAGTCAACCGTCAACATGATCAACGGTCGAGTTGTTTGACCCCCATTCAAATGACATCTTTTTTGTTATTTTGAACAGTTTCTTGTGGGTAAAAATTACTAATTTTGTATGTGGTTTATCAATTATAGTGCCGTGTGCACCTTGCGGCGCGCCTTCACGATACATCGCCATCTAGGCCTATAATTATGTGTTGTCATCGTTGTCATCGTCATTTTACACCAAAACTTCCCTCAAACATTCAAAACCCTGCCCTCTATCCATCCATGACATGCCTGCATGTTTTTGTCACCAAGTAGTTCGGTAAGTCAAATGAATTAAAAGTGGAGTTTGTTCTCTAAAAAGTCTAAGTTCTAGGAACCGGGCCCGTAACAACACGATTTCCATATTAATGACATGTATGTTTCTCCTTTTTTCTTTAATCAGTATCTGGACGACTCTTCAGGAGCTAGTGCAAGATGCCAGTCATTGTGGAGCTTCCAGATGACCCCAAGCCAACCCCAGGAGGCCTTGGGTCAAAGGTCACAACCGATGAACAGCCACCACCCCTCGGGGATCATCCACTGACTCAGCCCACCGAGGTATCTCCTCAAAAGGTCTCTTGAGAATTTGCCAATTTGGTCATTCATTGTCACTTCAAAACATTGATTTAAATCCTGTTTGTAATGTTAAATAATTTTTGTTTTTCTTTAAAGAAAACTTTGACGGATAAACCAGTCTTCATAACGGAGAGCACAGAAGATGTCGGCAGCAATGCGGGTGATGCTACCAAGCAGCAATCTCCAGAGACGGAGATAAAACCGAAGGAGGAGGCGAAGACAAAGGAAAGTCAAGAGAAGAAAGAGGACAATGACTATCCAAGGTAACCCTTCAAGATTACCTCCATATTTCATGTTATGCTGCCCTATTTACCAAAAAATTATTTTATACAGAATTTGTTTTCCCGACAAATGTTTTTTCTTCAATTTGACAGAATAACGGAGAAGTCCCTGAAAGAGCATTGCAAGCAGCACAAACTCTACCGCACTCCCGAACTGAATGATGTACTGTACTTGCATTATAAAGGTAAAGCTATAATGAAAGAGTATTAAAAAGCCCTAAATTGTAAGAAATACGTGACCCACTGTCCCAAAAACTAAGATTTCTAGAAAAGTGTCCAATTATTAAGCTGTTACTAGTGAAATGAGTTACTTTCCTTTTAGGAACACACAAGCTTGAGCTCTCTTTATCACACACTTGCAAATTATTATTTTTTTTCTGTATTCCTCCTTCGAACCTTTTATTCAGGATACCAACAGATTGAGAACCTGGACAAGTACACCGGGTTGAGGGCGCTCTACCTAGAGTGCAACGGCCTCCGCGTCATCGAGAACTTTGACCACCAGACCGAGATGCGTTGCCTGTACCTCCAGCAAAATCTGATCAAGTCTATCGGCAACCTGGAACCCATGCAGAAACTGGACACGTTGAACCTGAGTAATAACCAGATTGACAGGATCCAGAACATTGGTATGTATACTTTGTATAGGATGAACATGTTCTAGAACCTAGGTATTTAAAATTTGAAGTATCTTTAAGAACCAGGGTATTTGTAGGTTCTGTAGTAGGTGAAATAAGAAATGTGTGAAAAGTTGCGACCTGAGCAATAACCAGATTGACAGGATACAGAAACTTGGTGTGTGTGAGATCTAAACAGGTTCTAGAACTTTGGTCACTATTTAGAGGTCCTGAACATGTTCTAGAACTTTGTTATTTATAGGTTCTGTAGTTGGTAAAAGGTGAATTGTATTGGCCTGTGGAACCTTTGCAGTAACTGACTTGACAAGAACAAGAATCTTGTTATGTTCAGAGTTTCAATGTGTTCAAGAATTTATTCGTAAGATGGAATTTTGCGTTTAGAACCTAGCTATTTAAAATTCTAAACATGTTCTAGAACTTGGGTAGTTGTAGGTTCTGTAGTGGGTAAAAGAAGAGATGTGTCGAATGTTGAACCTGAGCAATATCTGAATTGACAAGATACTGAACCTTGGTGTGTATGGGGTTTCAACATGTTCTAGAACTTAGTTATTTATAGGATCAAAATGATATGTATAGGCATATTGAATCTCTGCTGAGTAATTAAGCTCGTAAATGTTTCTCACAGCATGGAAAACTTTCAAACATATGTATAAAGTGCTTAAATTTTTTTTGGAGGGGGGGATAAAGGGCAAAATCCAATGTTACTGAAGGGAATTTTCAAGCAAAAAGTTCTTAAAATTGATCTCTTCTATCGACAGCTTGCCTGACGAAGCTCAACACCTTGAATATGGCTCACAATCGTCTGACTACTGCCGACGATATCCGAGAGTTAGCTGCCTGTGAGAACCTGAGCGTGGTGGATCTGTCTCACAATCGAATCAATGACCCAGAGATTGTGGACGTCTTTGCCGCAATGAAGACTTGTGTAAGTAAACTAAGTTTAGAAAACTCCATTTTTCATGTTGCGGGAAAATTCTGGACTGTGGTTTCAGGGCCAGTTTTATGTTTTTGACAAAAGTATAAACTTTGGCAATGAAATTAAACTAATTCTTGACTACATGCTGAGGCTATTTGAGGTAAAAATAACTAATGTTTGGAATATTCTTTTTATCTCTTTCTAGCGAGTTCTGAACCTAATGGGCAACCCTGTGGTTAAGAGGATTCCAAATTACCGCAAGACTCTCATCTTGAAGTTGGTAAGTCAAGTGTGATGAAATTCATAAAAACTTAACAGAAAGGCGTATCATTTCAGAAAATGGAGAATTAACTTACACTGGAAAATTTCTAAAATACATGCAAATGATGTAAATCATTGAAACAATAACTACCTGTATCAAAACATTCTTTGTATCAACAATGACATACATAACTCACAAATAGTTATTTCAGTAATTTTGAAGAAATTCAAATGTCTTGGATAGTATACAGTGTTTAAAAATATTGAGTCAAAGATGCGCAATATCAAGTCGAGGAACTTTTCTTTTCCTTTCTAGACCAACTTAACGTACCTGGACGACAGACCAGTATTTCCCAGAGAGAGAGCGTGCACAGAAGCATGGTAATAGTCCCTCTTATCTCTCCTTTTTAAAAAAAATCTAATTTTTGTCTTCTTCATACCTCCTTTTTATCACTAAATGTAACTTTACATTTCTGGCTTTCAATTTTCTCATCTGGTGCCATGTCTTAAAAGTCTCAAATAGGAAATCCGATTCGTGAAGTCTAAATTATTAAGTCTTAAATTGGAAGGCTTAGAACCCAAAATCTCAGGTCCTCAATACCAAGGCTTAAATTACAATTCACAAATCCAAAGTCCATAGTGTTAAAGTCTCATGTTCCAAAGTTTAAGTAACAAGTTCAAAGTGTGGTATTAAATAAGTCTCAAGACTTTGATTTAAAGTCATAGTTCCCAAGCTTCAAGTCTCAAGTCTGACAAGCTTTGGTGCCAGGTCTATAGTGTAGTTTTTTACAACTTTAAGCTGTAAATCTCAAGTCTAATGTTCTAGGTTTTTGAGTTTTAATCTGCAGTTCCAAAGCTGAAGTGCTTGATCTCAGGTGCCAAGTCCAGTGCTTCAATTCAAAAGTACTTGGAGTTACTTAGTATGTCTTCTACATGCTGTCTTCTTTTTTTGTTTTCGTTCAGGTTCCGCGGAGGTCGGGAAGCAGAAAAGGAAGAAAGAGAACGTTGGATCAACAAAGAGAGAGCAAACATTCAGGCCAGTGTGGATGGTAAGCAAAATGCAAATATCAAAAAAATTATGGTACCTTTTTGCACTGGATATGAATTTCTCAAAGTGCTCACAGTTAATCAGGCCATGAGATAAGTTTGATGAGAGGTTTGACATCAGCGCCAATTGTTCACTACTCTCATAAGTATCCAATTAGTGGGTGGAGAAAAACAATCATGGTAGAGTGCCTTGCCCAGGAACACAAACACAACGAAACCTGTAACCCCACATACTGCCGTACATAATTTTTAATCGTGAAATGTGTCCACCAGTCATTCAAAGTTGGAGCAAGTTGGGCAAGATAAAATGTAAATATCTGGACATCGATTGTTAAATAAAAGTTTTACGTCCTGTCAACTCAATTAACTGCCAAAATAGATCTAGTTACAAAAAAAAATCACCACTTTCACAGCTCTGACGCAGATCCGCAAGCGCACCCAAGCCAACCGCCAGGAAACAGAGGATGCATCGAAAAAGGAACCTGCATCCTCCCCAGAACCGGTCACCACTCCCCCGGAGGACGAGCACCTCTTCACGTTCGATGTCAGTAAAGCGCCCTCTAGTGGCCAGAGAGCCAAGACGGGAATGCTGATAGAAGAAGTGTCCTCACAAGGTAAATGGAAAAAAAAAAACGATTTTGGCAAATACAAATTTATTTCATTTTGCAAAATGGATTTTTTTTTTTAAAAGAAGAAATTTTAATATGTAAAGTTACATGTACCTTTACGTTTTTTTGTAATGATTAAATTACAGTTTTTACAAAATGCTTGTGGCTTTTATGGCAATTTTTTTTCTTCTTTTTTTCTTCTTCAAATGTTAGTATTTTCGTGTGACTTTTTCCATAATGAAGACCCCAAAATTGGTGAGCCTAAATTATCAAAAGATGGTCAACATTTATTTTCCTAATATTTGGAGCCCCATTATTGTCCATTTATTTTTAACACTCCAAAATGAGCCAAAAAGTATTCTGATGGTGAGTTTTTTACTTGTACACAATTCAGATAGCAGCAGCGTCCAAAAGACGAGTTCAGACATCACCACAGAGTTGGTTGATGAAGATGACTTGGAAACGATCGATCTACCAAGCGAGGAGAAAATCAACATTGATGTGAGTATCATGCACAATATTGCGCCCTTCACGAACAACAGCCATAAACAACACATATAACTTGCTTTGAGAAATTCAGACCAGAGCTGTAAAAGATTTATAAAAGATTTGACTGATAAAAGGTTCAGTGTTATGCCATGAAAGGATGAACCGATGTATTACAATTTATATTTTGTTGCAGAAAATTCATCAGATTTCATTGCCCCAATGTACCTGTTGTCTTAAGTAGGATTTTGACCAGTCAAGTGGTTGAGACCACTGCACCAGTAACCAGGAGGTCATAGGTTTGAGTCCCGCCCATTTCAAAACTTGTGAATTATTTCTTGCATAAAGTTCTTGAAAAGGACTGAGCATACAGCTGGATGGAAAATCCTTATTTTTTTATGACTTGACTTTTTACTCCTTTGTTTTATGCAGGATCTGCCTGATCTTGAAGATTTTGACACAATGGACGACGTTGCCTCAGCAGGCCCGAGAAAAATGCTGATTGAGGAAATACCATCAGCAGAACCACCCAATGGCAGAGTCATGATTTCTGAAATCAGCCAATCACAGGGTGATGCTAAAAATACCAGCCAATCAGATTCGTCACTGCTGGTGACCGAAGAGCCAGATGACCAATCACATCCCTTGGTTGAAAACCTCAGCCAATCAGGAAACAAGTCCAAATCCCTCATTGTTGAAATGGACCAATCGAAAACAGAGTCACCCAAAATGGACCAATCGGAAGGTGCCGACTCTGTGACATCATCAGGAACAGCCAATAAGGTTTCTCTGATCGAGGAGCTGAAGGAATTTGGGGCTCGGATCCCGAACAGCTGGCACGTTATTGAAAATGAAAAATTGAGGAAAGAACAGGAAAACGACAAATCAAACGGTAAATCAAAATGAACTCTGTGTCATCAAAAAACTATGTAGACAACATTGAAAACAATGTAGACAACAATGAAGAAATATTCAGTTTAGTTTAGAGAAAGAAGAAAAACACAAAATAGTCTGGAGAAAATCCACAGCATGTTGGGGAGAGATAACATTTAATCCCACAAAATGCACCGAGTGGCATTTGAACGTGATCCACAAAGGTGCAAGGTACGGAAAGCATGTCCGTTTATAAAAGTCTCGGTGTCATATGAGATTTGGACTCCTATTAAATCTGGTCTCTTTTACCTTTTATGGACTGTAGCTTCACATGTGATTTGTCACTGTACAAATTCTGTCCATTGTGAAATAAGCCATGGACTTTAATCACAAGTCGGCCATGTTAAATTGAAAGCGAGGTAAATTCTTCATTTTTAGAACTTGCCAGTAGAAATGAAAGCGACAAAATGAAAGTTCATTACAAATTTATCTTAGTCTGCTCTGATGAATAATTAAAACTTTGTGATTAAACACACGCTAATGTTTTAAGCCACATTTAAAAACAAACAAAAATGAAAGTGAGGCCATTGAGTCCATATTAAATGTTCACTCGACTCAAAATCCGGGTTGTTTGTATTAATTTCATTGTCATAACTAATTTCAAAACTGCAGGTGCTTCATCGACAAGCTCTACGACCGAGAAATCTAACGAAGAAAAGATCTGGGATCTTGCAGCCAATGCCGGCTCAACGGTCGACAGGCCAGACCCAACCGATTCTTGAATTACCATTGAAACGGATTTCACCAAAGGGAAAAGATAAACTAATTTTCCCAGCAGTACTAAGGCAGTTTGACATCAAAGTCAATTATTTTTCTGGCCAAAATTGAAATGTATAGAACGCAGATGTTTGGGAACTGTTTTAACAGTAAAGTTAAATTATTTGTGTGAAATGTTCCCATGTTCTCTGTCATATTTGTTCTCTATGTGATGTAAATAATTTGTTTGGAATCTTTAGTGGATGTGATTGACTGCTTGGTGACATGAACATGAATGTCTTCTGGTTTTCTTAAAATATTTTGTATGAAAGTAGAAAAAGACGTGTCTGCCGTGTTTATAACATTACTGATTTGTTAGCATTAAAATGTTTAACCAGATTTTGCTAAATATGTAACAAAACAACACTGACAGAACAGACTTCAAAGGATAAATCATCCAAACCCACAAAATTTGAATATTTGTGAAATTATTTAATTGATTGTCGAGTTACTTGGTGCTTACATTCCATAGGGCCAATGTACATAAATGTGTAGCTTCATTTACGGTTTTTCAGTTGTCTTTCCATAAGTGCCGATCAGTTTATTTTGTATCCATTGCGTACTTAGGCTTAAATTACTACACGCCTAAAAAATACGCAAAATAATTATGTAACTGGAAAACTTACGAGGCAAATTATCAATTGGTCCCAACAGTTTCTATATGTGCCTCTTAGCCATGTATACATTATCTACATGTGTTCAGTATTGGAGGTTGTTGATCTAGTTTTATATCTTAAATACCGTCCAAATAAGAAGCAATATATATAGCCCTTCAAGTTGGAAAAACTACCCAGCAAAAAGATATATCTTGTTTCAACATTTTTTCCCTTTTTTATTGGACTTGGAAGAGTTGGCTTAACTTAGGCCAAAAAAAAAAAATTCGGTCTCTGGTCAGACCAAAGTTCCGGAATTGACGCGGCGGCGCGGCTTTTTTTTTTTTTTTCTTCAAGCTTGCATTGTACAGACAAGGTGGGGTACTATTTTGCTTTTTTGGTGTCCTCATGTACATTGGTGTCCTTCATAATTTGCTTTGGTGCTCTCGATCATTTGCCGTGGTGCAATTTCCCATTCCTTGGTGCTCTTTAGTAAAAAAAAATTGAGGAGGTGCGGCAATAGAGGGCGCTGTTGGAGCTACCGCGGAACATTTTGAAGAAAAAAAAAGATTGACGCGCATGATTAAAATCGACGCGTGCGCTGACCAGCGACCGACAATTTTTTTGTTGGCCTTATCATCAGACATGTTTGTTCAATTCTAAAGAGGCAGCAAAACTGTAAAATGTAATATTTATGCAAACAAGAAACATCAAATGATTGTCAAGAAGCAATAAAACAAAACCTAATTTGAAAAAAAATACAGATAAAAATGATATTGAAATCGCATATTTGTCCTTTGAAAAAATATATAGAATAACAAGCAATATGGCAGCCATTTTGAAGATTTGGAAAACTGCTTGCTATATTTTTTCAAAGGACAAATCTGCGATGGTCCTATAGCCAAGTTTCTTTCTCTTTACATACTCTGACTGTGTGCCAAATGCCATGCTTGTGTCATCAAAGGCACAATTCCCTTACTAATTGTGATGTATTTAACATCGTTGACTACAAACGCTGCAGTGTCATGTACTACAATACACTCAAGATTAATGTCTGAACAATACCCAAACCAAAACTTCAAAATATAAACTCCTTTCAGCTAAAAATAATAGAGTTTGTGCTAGAAATCTAACAACGCTAGAAATATAAACCTGTGAGGTAAAATATTTATCCATTTGTGGAGAGCAAAATAATATAATTGTTTCTTTCAGTGCTATTTACAGAATCTCTCAGATATATACATATTACACCTTGCACATCTTTTTGTTTGAAAAGTCCCACAGCATTTGAGCAATGAAATCACACATCTTTGGAAATATAATATTTATGTCATAACAAAAGAATGTTTAACCAGTTCATGTCGGGATTATTTTGACATTGACCGGACCCAGGTGCGGGATTGTTTTTTTCACGCACCTCGATGCCAGCGGGTTCAGGCCGTCATCTGTGGGTAGCACACCCTGATATTTCAGGCCTCGCTCGCTGGGAGCGGGTCGCTGACAGATATTTCCAGCCTCGCTTGTTGCGTGTTTATCCGTCATCCGTTCCGAATACCGCAAAACCTTTGCGTGTATACACGTCATCCGACATGAACTGGTTAATAATAACCCTCAACCCTCAAAAGAAATTTTGCAATAGAAATGTTTAAATCTGTCAAAAATCCATCACTTTCCAGTATCCCAATGTCAATTTCTCAAAACACTAAGTCAAAAGAAAGTGTTGCGGTATCGATTTCTTTAAAATCGTGCAAAACACCAGATTTTTTTTTTAATTTGGCAGACTTTTGGGCTATTCCACCACTACTGCTCTTTATAAACTGGCATTACATTTTTTCAGCTTATTTGCTACCAATATCAAAACTGGAATAATTAACATTACTAGTACAATTTGGCATCAAAATAATTGCACATTTTTAAATTTCTTAACATAATTTCCAAATAATTTTATTCTGATGGCTAAATAATTTATATATATAAATTTGTTTTTATCAAACTTTAAATGTGCTTTATCTGGAAATTCAAGGTGAAGATTTTTAGAAAGAAATTTTCCGCATATTGTGAAATTGTTTTAACATCTTGAAAATGGATATAGAGAAATGTCACATAACCTTTACAGTAGATGCTTGATGGAATACATGTAAGAATTCAAAAATGGTGCTAAATGGAGATTTGTTTGCACATAGGCTAGTTGCACAGGCCTTTTCAAAATCTATTCTAAATTCTGCAGGTTTTTTTAAAAGTGAGAACAAACTCTTGAAAACAACCTGAAAACACAAACCATGAGCAAAAATAAAATGTGAAACCCAAAACACACTTACCTTTTAATTAATGGCAAATCAAAATTTATGCGGAATAAAAAAATTGGAAGTCATACATTTTCTCAATGGAAGCACACTGGTTTGGAAGATCGTAATTATAACTGGCACAGTTGAGGCAAGTGTGTGTAAAAAATGGCAACTCAGCTCGCTAAGCCTAAAGCATTTTTGCGAAAACAATGAAACTGAAAAAAAAATATTAACTGCCAACAATATTTTGTCAATTCCCCCGACGTCTATAGCTTAATCCCTACGTCTGGAGTAAGGGTCAGGGAACCAGACTACAAGAAAAGCATTTTCGTCTTGGCTTTCCAGCATCTAAAACTTCAAACAGGCCAGTGTAACAGTATTTGCAATAAAATACCAACCCCCAAATCCGTTCATTTCTTAAAATTACAGCCTTTAAGGCCACCGATTCCATACCATCTATGTCTATTTTTGGGTACGAATCCAATTTTGGCTTTCGATAAACCATCTACATGTATATGTAGAGGCCAGAAATTTAGAAACAGTAAAGTCTATAATATGTACAATGAACTTTCAATGAAGACTACTCCCAAGAAAAAAATATACATATAGTTTTATACAATTGGAAAACCGTTTTCAAAAATGTATACACACATTCCGGAATACATGTAATTCATCGGACCTAAAACAACAAAAGGCCGGAGCATTTGAAGCAAATGCGCCAAACACACGCAAAGTCACACAAAAGTGCAGCAACTTTGTCTTGCTGCAATTACGCGTCAGCATAAATTTGAATAAAATATAAATTCCCATCACACATACTCCAGATAAATGTGCGAAAATGGATTTTGAAAGGCATTAAAAATATGACAAACGGCATTTTTTTTATAAAGTTTTGTAATACATAACATTGCAAAGTGAAGGAATGTTCATCAAAAACCCATTAAAAAAACAACCCTCAAATATTTGGAATGAAAAACAAGACACTTACATAAATTTTTTGAAGGAGACAGATTTAATCGCTGCAACGTTTTTTCTTCTTGCCCTTCCAATAAACCCCAACACCAACTTGGTAATAACCTTTGCCTGAAACTGACAGTCCAATCTCTGGATTTTGTAAGAGCATAGTACTGCGCATCCAAAAATCGTTCATGACCACTTTGTCTTTCTTTTACATCAAATTTTACTTGCAGCATCCCTTTTCTTGAGTCTCATCTGTCAGGTGCAGGGCTTTCTCAATGTCTTCATCTTCTCGCTCTTGGAGGATGGTCGCCATAGTGTGGAAGGCTTCTTTCACATTCTGCCCGCTTTTGGCGCTCGCCTCGTAGAAAAGGCATCCGTAGGACTGGGAGAAAAAGAACCATCAATAATTGTTACATAATCTTTCTTCCCAAAAAAGAGTATTTATCTGTATATAACCTCTATGTCCTAGATCTGAATTCTAAGCAAAACAACATATTGATGCCGAGTTCTGTTTTTAATGAAAGTAAAATGGCAATTTATATTGCCCTGTCTTTTGGTAGTATTGGGCATATATGAGACCAGTCAATATAAAACAAACAAAATATTGATGCCGAGTTATGCTTTTAATGAAAGTAAAATGGCAATTTATATTGCCCTGTCTTTTGGTAGTATTGGGCATATATGAGACCAGTCAATATAAAACAAACAAAATACTGATGCCGAGTTCTGCTTTTAATGAAAGTAAAATGGCAATTTATATTGCCCTGTCTTTTGGTAGCATTGGGCATGTATGAGACCAGTCAATATAAAACAAACAAAATATTGATGCCGAGTTCTGCTTTTAATGAAAGTAAAATGGCAATTTATATTGCCCCAGCTGTCTTTTGGTAGATGGGCATACATGAGACCAGTCAATATAAAACTATTTCCCAGTGGATCCATTGGGAATCTGTTTTTACAAGTTCCCGGTGACCTAACAACTACAACTCGCCAATGATCTCAAAGGAAATATATAAAGGGTAATATATTAAACTTGGTATTGGTGCTGGTCAATATAAAAACTATTGCCCAATCCTGCTAGATTTTCCAGCATCTTGCTATTCCTCGCTGTAGACTCGTGCTCAAAGCTAAAGATGACATAACCTCAAACACCGATTAAAGGGCAACAGGCAACTACTACTGCCTTAGAAACCAGTCAATATAAAACTATTTCCCACCTCAGCCAGGCTTTTGCCGACCTCCTCTTTGATCTGTCTGCAGTCTGATTCCCCGTCTTTGGACATGTCAGTCTTGTTGCCTATCATCATACGCACCACACTCTCACTTGTTGATTCCTGAAAGAAAAAAATAAATTGTGATTTCTGTAAAGAAACTCTAAAGCCAGGAGGAAATTTCAACCTTTCAAGCTAGTCTTGAAATAAGAATTGTACTTCAGAACTGCAAGATATCGTGTCCAAGCATTTTGACTGTGTCACCCATTTGTGAGGACTTGTGAGGACTTGTGTGGACTTGTGAGGCTTTGTGAGGAATTGTGAAGGCTTGTTAGGACTTCTGAGGACTTCTGATGGACTTGTGAGGACTTGTGATGACTTGTGATGGACATGTGAGGACTTGTGATAGACTTGTGAGGACTTGTGATGGACATGTGATGGACATGTGAGGACTTGTGTTGGACATGTGAGGACTTGTAATGGACTTGTGATGGACTTGTGAGGACTTGTGAGGACTTGAGAGAACTTGTAATGGACTTGATTACAAAGCCCCTAAACTCCTTAATCTCTTCAGGACTCACCACAACGCTGTTCATCCAGTTCCGGACGTTGATGAAGGAATTCTCCGAGTTGACGTCGTACATGATGATGATGCCGTCGGCTTTGCGGAAGTAATGCCGTGTGATGCTACGGAACCGTTCCTGCCCCGCTGTGTCCCACAGCTGCAGGGCGATCAAGGAGTCGTTGATGACCATCGTCTTGACTTGGAAGTCAACTCCTGAGAAAAACAAAACCAAAACAAAAAACCCAGAAATTAAATTCTCGTCTTTTATGACAATGTTCGCTCACACTTACCAACCTTATCTGATGAAATTGGGAAAATCTCATTTCTTTTAGTTCTCAGTGGACAGATTTTTTTTTTTTTACTGGCCCTTAATACTTTGCTCTCTTTTAAGTAAATTTTGAAAGTATGCTACTACCCAAAAACTTTTTTAGCCCCAAGTTGGGCATCTCCACTGCAAAAAAAACAGTTTTTTGCAAGTAAGATGGGTTTAAATGTCAGCCCTTTTCTAAGCCTCCTGCTGCGGGTTGTACAAAAGCACTCAGGAAGACGGGAGCGTAATTCCTAGTATTGAACAAGAAAAGCAGCAGACTTTGAAAAATCTAAAAAGAACACCAAAAAAACACTACAACTGACCGATAGTTGCACTGAATGTCGACCTGAAGTCATCATGACAGAACCGATGAATGAAACTTGTCTTGCCAACTCCTGAATCGCCGACGAAGACCACTTTGAAGAGTCGTTCTGGGCCCTTGGGTGTGCCCGCAATCTGAAATCAAATGTTTTTTTAATTTATTCCACAAATAAAAGTTCAATTTGCAAATACAGTTTCCATATTTATGATATTAAATATTGCCAGTTTATTGACTGGTTGTCTGCTTGATAACTTATTTATTTATCAATTGATTAGTTAATCAGTACCTTTAACGATCAGTCTGATCAGTAAGTCAATTTATGGAGTGGTTATCTAAATTGATTTATATATAAAAATCTATAATTTGACGGATCAGTACATTGGAATTTATTGTTGATATGACAGATCAATACATTGAGATTTCTTGATCACTTGACATATCAATATATTGATATTTGTTGATCACTTGAGAGATCAATACATTGACTTTTATTGATCACTCAACACATTTTTCGACCACTTGACAGATCAATACATTGAGATTTATTGATCACTTGACAGATCAATATATTGAGATTTTTTGATCATTTAACAGATCAATACATTGAAATGTATTGATCAATTGACATATCAATATATTGACATTTATTGACCACTTGACAGATCAATACATTGAGATCTGTTGATCACTCAACAGATTAATACATTGAGTTTTATGGATCACGTGACATCGATACATTGAGATTTACTGATCACTTGGCCGATCAATACACTGATATTAATTAATAATTGGACAAATCAATACATTGATTACTGAAGCAATAACTCACCCTAGCTGCCTCTGTCATAGCACCATTGGCTGAGTGACAGCCCACCGGTTCCTCCCTCAAACCGCTGGGCTTATACCCACCTCCAACACCATTCTCCATTGCATCTGGAGAACCTAACTTGGTCTCCGGACTTGAAAAAGAAAATGAATACATGTAAAAAGTAAATTGTTGAGTTCCGAACTCCTAAAAAACCCTGTGTAGTATCCCAGTTGTAGTCAATCACAAGCTAAACAACAAGTCAATTAAAAGGTATGCCACAATAATTAGCGGATGACCAACTGCAAAGAAATCCTGTTGTCACAGTTCATTTGAATACTGTGTCACTTGACTTGAGACCATATGACTTGTGTTCGGCCTGTGATTGGCTTGCGATTAACTTGCGAATGACTTGTGATTGGCTCGTGATTGGCTTGTGAATGACTAGGGTTTGGCTTGTGACTAGGGTTTGGCTTGTGATTGGCTTGTAATTGGCTTGTGAGTGACTAGGGTTCACCTTGTGATTGCCTTGTGATTGACTTGTGATTGACTTGTGATTGGCTTGTGATTGACTTATGATTAACTTGTGATTGAGTTGTGATCGACTTTTAATTGACTTGTGATTGACTTGCTATTGTCTTGTGATTGACTTGTGAATGGCTTGTGATTGACTTGTGATTGGCTTGTAATTGACTTGTGATTGAATTGCTATCGTCTTGGGATTGGTTTGTGATTGACTTACGTTGGCTTGTGATCGACTTGTAGTTATTTGTGACAACTTGATTCAAACTAAGTAAAGTGCCTGCTGTACAATCCTCAACCGACCTAAACTTCTATGCGGCTGTAGTAAAGATATCTAGTGCATTCTGGCAAAGTGTGTCAAAAGTTCAGTGCAATTTGAGCCAGTTTGAGGAGTAAAACACTGGGCTTGTTAGCGACCATTGAAGTGAAGTTTAAAACTGACAACAGGAAGGGATACATACGCCGATGAGTACACCTGCTGGGCGCTGCGTTTGATAACAGCCCCGTCCATCTCGTCAACAGCCCCTTGTGTCGTCTCATTGGTCCATTTGTGCCCCATGACCAGGTCCATGCGTTCCCCACCCTCCCCGTTGGCAAACTGCCCGCCGTTGATCACGCTGTGCAGCGGCGTGCCGTGGCCGTTGTGATAAACGGCGTCGTCCACTTCCACTTCGTCTTCTTCGTGGATGATGTATCTTTCCTCCTCGTCATCGACGCCGTCTTGCCCCGACTGCCCTGAAATCCTACCCCTGGGTGTTAAAAGACAGAATTCAATCAACTGGGCCCCACCAGATTTGAGTCATAAGCCCCGCCCACTTTATGGTTCGTGGTCACCTGACCAGTCGTGATCCGATTGATAGGCAGGTAGAAATCCATTCTAATATGGCACTACTTATGGCAAAACAAAATAGTATTTTGCAAAGTTTGTTGCAAAGCCAAAAATAGCTTGGAAGTTGCAAATAAAAAAATTGAGAATTTTAAACATTTTAATTGAAAGCAAATAATTGAACACGGTGAGAGAAATGTTCGACAATTACCAAAAGTTCACAAATACTTCACGAATACTCACTTATCATTTACAAAAAGTGATTGTAACAAATTTTACGAATTACATCGACAAATTCAAAGGTAAATCACAAAAATCACAACAGTTTTATTTTAAATTTTGACTTGGATAGTTAAAAGTCATGCGGGTTACATGAACAGAATGTTGTTATAGAACATGCGTCAAAAGTCAGTTTGGGAAAAAAAGATGATTATACGTGAATGCAATTTAAAAGCCACAAATAATCACAATATAAAAAAAACATTAAATCACGGTTATAAATATAAAACAAGATGCAAACGTGTAGATTTCTTAATTCCATGTAGAAGTATGAGATTTTTCCTTATTCTTTTTTTTGCAGATTAATATTTTCATAGGAGCATGGCATTAAAAACATTCCTGTACTAGCAGAAAAACTTATACCATTTTTATGTTAATTTCTTGTTAACTTAACTATTGCTGCCCTGAATAATGCAACTTCACCATGTTACAAATGCCTGTTATTTCAAGATGTTGCTTAAGCGGTTAGCAGTAATTTTTTTCACCACAAAATTAAGTCCAATGCTCACGCAGCTTCAGACTGCTCAATGACGATTTGTGCCGGCGACATAACAATACATCAACTCAATATCTGTAGCATGCACAAATATGTTTTGCATTTTAAGATAAATTAAAGATTAAGTATTAATTTAAACGTAACTGCGACAAATATTGCAAGCACTGTAATTTTCTGTGTTAACTGAGCGTGAAACCAAATATGCAAATTAGTACATTCAAAACACCATGCAACATTTGGGAGAACTTAAAGAAAAATGCAGCATATATACGAGTGTAAATTCCATTCATCACCTTGACTCTAAATTCCTATAAATTGCTGGGGACGGAACGACGGGGGACTGCGCTAGATTTTATGGGATTCTGAAAAGTGGGGTTTGTGGTCGTCAGAGCTGTTTGGAAAGACAAAAACAAAATGGCAGACAGGGCAAAAGACACATGAATGTTGGCGTGGTAACATGAGAGATACACACAGTCCTACCTCCAAAAGCTGGCCGAAAAATCTAATACATTATGATCCAAAGAAATTCATGTTTACATCATTTAAACACTGAGCATTATGCATACAAAAATTAGCGGAAAACCGATGCACAAATTGTTTTGCACATAACTCCGTTCACAGTTCAAAAAGCACCCGAAAAACTGGACATATATGTTTCACAAACAGATAAGCATTTTCCAGTTATTTACAATAAGCTACCATTTTCAAAAAGCTTGAAGCATAAATGTATACACAGTATGAACGAAGGAAAAGTTTGCCATAAAGAATCATGTGCACATCTTTTTCAGAGGGTTGAGAATAAAAATGCTGGACTCAATTAATACTGATAGGCGATGTTTCGATCGTGCGTGTGGTAGAATTTTACAGAAAAAAGTTAGCACATAAAAAAAAAAACCCAGTAAGCTCACTGCCCTTGGAACATCTCTGACAAAATATTATTTGGAGGTCTGATTCCAAGTAGGCATACTGACAATATAAAACAAGTTTACAGCTCCCTACAATGCAAGATATTTTTTTTCGATGAATGCAGTCACTGTAGCATTTAAAGAATGAACACAACTTTCTTAAAGACTTTTTTAATGGGTACTCAAATTTTGTAAATTTGAACAAAAAATATTTGGACATCAAAACTTTAGGTCTGGAACTGTGTAGTGCTGTAGTCGAGTCAATCGCAAGTCCATTACAAGTCCTCATAAGTAAATCGTAAGTCAGAAAGGCAAATGAATGCCTTTGTCTCAGCTCATTTGAGTAGCTTGTTATATTTGACATGGGACTGGAGGACTTACGAGGGACTTGTGAGGACCTGTAAGGAACAGCGACTCGTTTAAAGAACAAGATTTTTGGTCGTGAAGGTTCATGGACATTTTATTACTTACCTCGCTGGTGACACATAGGGGGCTAGGACCGATCCTTGCTTGACCAACTGCGCGCCTTGGCTTGGGCTTTCGCTTGGTGTCTCTTTAACCTAAGGGATAAAACATCCCATCGTAAGAATTAGGGGGTGCCACTCAGTGGTTAGGGTTAGTAACGCTTGAATCAGAAAGTCAGGGGTTCGAATCCAGCTGCCTGCCATACGTTGTGTCCTTGGGCAAGCCACTTCACCAGAACTTGTCTCTCTCCACACAGGAGTATAAATGGGTACTAGCTGGGGGAGTAACCTGCGATGGACTGGCATCCCATCCAGGGGGCTATGGAGTATTCTTGGTGGTGCCATCTGCCTTCCAATTCTGTGACCCTGGTTCCCATCCCCACCTATGCCAACATGTCGATTAGGTTTTGAGTTGTAACATGATTTCACTGGTTCCCCCAGAATATTTGTCTGAGTTTTCCTCTAAAATTAAAAAAAAAATCTGAACTGCCTTCTCTCCAAAGGCTCCTTCGGGCTTGCAAGCTACAGTGCCATGGGAAATTTTTGAGGAATTCTTTAATCTTATTCCAAGAAAGAAAGAAATAAGTTATATGTTTGTACTTACTCGGAGGCGGGATTCAAACTCGTCTTTCTCATCTTGTAGTTTCTTATTCATCGTCCGCAGCAGGTTCAGCTGTTTGACCAAACTCTCTCGTTCCTCCATGATGTTCTCGGTCACCTTCAGTGCAGCACTGAAACACAAAAACAAAAATCCTTCAGCCATTTTTTGGTGAAATTTTTTAATTCCTGAAGCAGCCACCAACATGACAACCCGACTCTAATTCTGCATTTGTAATGCAAAAGTAAAATGAAATGTCACTTTGCTTGAGTGTTCAATAGGAAGTTTTAGAACAAAAAAATCAAAGCAAGTAAAACTATTATAAAGAATGAACCCATTTTTAAGAACCTTTTATACAAATGTTTTGACATTTTAACAAATATTGTGAACATTTTGTTCAATTGTCACAAATGTTCTCACATTTTTGTTGCTGCATAAAAGGAAATTTCTGTTCTTTTCTGTTTCCTTTTTTTTTGGTGGGGGTGGTGTGGGGGTAGGGAGGGCTCTATCTATCCCAATCAGCCCCTCAACTCATCATTGGATGTTGGGAACAAACTTCAAGTCTCAATTTTAATAGCCTCAGGAGGTCTCTGATTGTTCAGTATTTTTTTTTAAATGCGTTTTTTTTTTTAGGTTTGTAATTTTGGAGACTTAGACACTCACTGTGCTCTGTCTCTTTTCTCCTTCTTCATGCTGACTTGGATGTCTTTCAGATACGTCTTGGATTCGTCCAGATCCATCAATGAACCGTCTAACTTTGTCCTCAGCTCGTAATTGGTCTGCCATAATGAAAAAAAAATTGAATAGAGATTGTACATTATTTTTTACAGCGTTTTTTTTAATCCCTTCAACATTGGGTGATATTAGGGTTCTAAAGACGTTGGAATTTTTTGGGCCATTTAACATATTTGCCTAAATAAAAATGGATGGCTCAGTAGTTTCGAATTGAAGGAGTATCTTCATTTATTGAAAGAATTGTACACTCTGCAAGTAACTACTCAAACGTGACTTTCCTGGGTAAGTTTTTAAAGCAATTCTTGGGTCTATTTTTTGACCTTTGGTTCAGCAACAGATGTGGTGTATGGTTGGTGATGTCTTAGAGATGGCATGGGGAAAATCCTTACAAGAATCTTGTGGTTGTTACTGTTTTGGGGATTTTTTGGTCTTGTTCTTTAATCCTCTCACCTTCTGCAACATTTCATTTTCCTGTTTGAAATCGTCTTCCATGTCACTCAGCCTCTTCAAATTGGTCTCAAGCTGTAGAATAAATAAACACGTTTGTTTTTTACCAAAAATAAACCACAACAGAAAACTGACCACACGTGAGTTTACTTTAAACCAATGATATACGATTTAAATCAATAATAAACTGTATCATCTACAAGTCCATCACAAGTCCTCCAGTCAGTGGTGGGTCTACGGGGAGGGGGGGGGGGGGGCTTTAGGCCCCCCTAAAATTTTGTCTAGCCACCCCCAAAAAAAAATCCATAAAAAAAAAAAAAAATGCACAAGCAAAATCTAACTATGAAAGTAACCCGTCTACATTTCAGCTCGCCTCCCTGAACATATTTCTGGATCCACCCTGCTAGCATCCCCACAAAAAATTGGCTCTAGAACCGCGCCTGCCTCCAGTTGAGTCCAGACGCAGTCTATTCCAATGATTCTGTGACCAACACACTCCTTTGTCATTGTCCTATCCTGTTAATAGCGTTCGCCTCTCATTACTGTGGCCAGGGTTTGATCCCCGGCTCGGACCAAATGCGAGTGGAGTTGTTCTCTCCTGTGCCACAAGGGTTTTTCTCCAGGCTCTCCGGTTTCCTCCCTCCACAAAAATCAACACTTTCGATCTCTGGCTGTGCTCCGAGGTCAGACATGTGTCGTATGGCGGCTGCCTAAGGCACCTTCACATTCCTTCGGCTCGACCACGTTGTAGCCGCGTCCTTCGCAATTCAGCTTCTCAGCTGCGAGTAAGGGTGATCAGCCCCCCCCCCCCCCCAAATTATTATTCATTCTTATCATTTGTGACCTCACTTTTGATTTGACTTGTGACTCACTAAGACTCTGATCTAAGAATGTGAGTGAAACACAATGGTTCATTTGATCATCGTACCTCCATTTGTCGTTTGGAGAGTTCTTGCAGCTGCTCGTCTTTGCTTCTCATCAACGACGTCAACTCCTCCCGGACTCTCTTCTCTTTTTCCTTCTCCTGAAATGCAAAGGACATCAAAAACTGCTTAAGTCCCTGACTTTAAATATCGTTGAGGGGACATTGGCTCAATGGTTACAGAGAGAGATGGGAGGGACCACTGGAACGGACGTTAAACACATTGACGGCGCCCAACGCTCACGTTGACGGCACAACTATGCACTTTCAGGTAGAAAATGTTTGTGCGTACTTCGCGTCATACACGAGAAACAGCACGCAAATGCGGTGTCCCTCCCACTGGTACTAAAGCGCCCTCTAGAGAGATGGGGGAGACCACAGGAAAGGACGCTAAAAGCATTACCGACGGTGCTCAACGCTCACGTGAGGGCGCAACTATGCACATTCAGGTAAAAATCGTTTGTGCGTACTTCGCGTCATACACCAGAAACGGTACGCACACGCGGTGTCCCTCCCTTTGGAACTAAAGCGCCCTCTAGAGAGATGGGGGAGACCTCTGGAAAGGACGCTTAATGCATTATTGACGACGCCCGACGCTCACATGACGGCACAACTATGCACATTCAGGTAGAAATTGTTTGTGCAAACTTCACGTCATACACACGAGAAAGTACGCACAGTCGGTGTCCCGCCCACTGGAACTAAAGCGCCCTCTAGTGGCCGTGCACAGAGCCCATTATACCCAGTAACAAATAAGTTTCCTGGTAAATGTACCTCGTGTAGGATTCTATCTCTCTCAGCTCGGATCTGCAGCTCCATTTCTTCATACAGCCTCCTCACCTCAAGTTCGTGCGCGCTGCCTCGTCTGTAAAGCAAACAAAAACAAAACGTGACGCTGGTCGAGGGCAAAACCACCATTCTAATATTTTCAACATCTACCCTATGCGAATTTCTGTCAAACATCACCGAGTGTAATATACCGGTGCTGTACGAGATTCAAACCAGGTAACTAAAGTCGGTAAGCTTGGTAGTTGAGTGGTGGTAGTGGGTTCGAGTCCCACTCAAATAAGCGTCATGAGTAACTTGTTTTCCCTCATTACATTTTTTTTTTTTTATTCTTTCTCTAGACTGTTCCTTTAATCTTGTAATTATGTACATATGTTAAATACATTGACGACACCCAACGCTCATGTGACGGCACAACTATGTACTTTCAGGTAGAAATTGTTTGTGTGTATTTGGCATCATATGAGAGAAAACGTACGCACAGTTGTTTTCCAAGTAACATCTACTGTAAATATAGATACAGACTGTTCCTTTAATCTTGCATGTATGTCTCCCCACAGCATAGCTATTTCATTCTCAGGTGAAGAAAGACAATAGTCTTAAGATTGTATTCTCCCATCCAGCGCATCTAGGATTTTCCAGTAGGGCCATAGTTAGTCAAATTAATTTGGGACTTCAGGAATTTAGTGAATCTCACACAGTGTAGAAGAGATTGCTAGGAATTTCTATTGTTCTTTAACTGGTGCGTTTAAGCTTGGGCCAGAACACTGACTAGACACCAGAGGTGTAGGACCTGTCCGCCCGGTCAGATAGTTCGCCTGTATATTTTGACTGAAGCTGAGATATTTTGACATCGTGATTTTGCGCCAGTTTAGGCACCTTTTGCTTCTGTGTGAAGCCAGTGCTGAGTGCATTTTTCAGGTTTTGTCAGGATTTCTGCGTGGAATTCTGCGCCAGTTTTGGCACCGTTTTATACCAGTTTGGGCATCCTGTGTGGAGGAAGAGTTGGACCAGGCGACGGGCGACGGCAAAGTGGACGGAGAAGAGACTAACTGTAAGCACGATTTCTTTTATTTCAAACGTTCAGTTTTCAGAGATTGATTGTGAAGGAATTATTTATTGACTAAGTGTCATTTGAAGTACATGTATCTGTGTGTAAATTCCAATTGGATTGCAAAATTTGTGGAATTGTTAAATTGAAATTATAATCGAGATTTATCTAGGCCAAATTAACATTTTTGAGATTTGAATTAGATTAACAAAACAGTTCGGGCACGAATGTGAAATTATTAGATTTTGGGTTATATTTTTATGTTTAGATGGCCAAGTATATGAGCCAGCATAAAAAATCCTCATGTGGCTGTTTTGGAAAAAAATGTTGCAACCTGACGCCACTTCCACAGTTGTGTATAAAGTCTATGGAGAGTCAAGAACATTTTCTGAGTATTTCCTAACAAAATTGGAAATACTTCTCAGTCCCAGATTCATGTCTGATCATCATTTTTGCAATGAATGACCTTCATTGAGATGATATATGAAGAAAAAAGTGGCGTCAGGTTGCAACATTTTTTTCCGAATAATTTATTTGACTGAGTGTGATCTGAAGTATCTGTGTGTAAATTTCAGTTGGATTGCAAAATTTATGGTATGGTAAATTGAGACTTTGATCATGTTGATATTGCCAGATTGAAATTGAAGTTATTATGGAGATTTATTGAGGCCAAATTCACATTTTGAGATTTGAATGAGATTTACAAACAGTTTGGCATGAAGTGCATATGCTGAGTTGACTTTTCTTGAAAGATTGTCAAGTTGCGATGATGTTTTGGGAATGTGAAATAATTGGATTTTGGGTTATACATGTACATGTACATTTTGATGTTTAGACATGTTAGATGGCCAAGTACATGTATACGAACAAGCATAAAATACCCTCACGTGGCTGTTGTAGCCCAGAGACAAGCCCATTTACATTTGTATTTGTGTAAACACCGTGAATCGTGGATCCCCTATTGCCCCCTTTTGTTCAACCTTTAACTCTTTAGGAAGACCTCCCATTTATTTTGTAAACGATCGTCAATTGTAGACCTTCAGTCAATCATGGACCGTATTGTTCTCTATCCGCTCCGTTCACAAGTACCCCCTCACCGGCAAAGAAAGTACAGTTGGGAGTGACCGAACGGCGCCATCTTGCCTGACTGCAATATTTTGCCGCGAAGCGCAGCCAGTGTGTGTACATAGTACAATCCCCTGGTGTACGTGCATCACACACAAGGAACGGTGGGCGCGCGCCAACCAACAAAATGTATGTGTCCCGCCCATGGGACGTTGTTGCTAGGTAAAAGGGCGCCCTCTTTTGTTGGCGCACTGAGCCCATTGTTCAATATCCACACACTGAATGTATATGTACTCAACTACTCCTGCATAGAGACAAAAGTTCACCATTTAAAAAAATTATTGATTCTTACGATTTGAGAGCGTTTTCCAGTTCTCCGGTAGTCAGCTGAGCCTTGTGCATGTCCATGCAGACTTTCTGGATGAAATCTTCAAAGTTTCCTAGTAATTCCGGCTCATTTCGGCGCAAGTTCTTCCAAAGGTCCTTGACCTCGACTTGCCTGGCAATAAGAAATATCAGACCACCGTACAAATTTTGAACGACTGCTTTCAAAACTGGAACTTAAAGTCTGGCATGCGCATTTTTAGCTGCAGGATAGCAGCTCAAAAATCATCATGTCTCTCCGTTAGTTACTTAGTTTAGCAACAAATGTTAACATTGTCTATTGCTACATACATGTATTTTGCCCGATTTCAACCAAACTTTGTCATACTAGTAGTAGCCCAGCCCCAACATGTCACATGACATGAAAAGCAACATTTCATTCCATCTTGCTTTGCAACTGAACGAGTAGCTTTGACTTGCTCAACCCAAAGAAGAATTGCTCATTCTTACTCATCGAATACGCCCGATGCTCCCAGCGTTTCCATGACTCTGAAGTAATCCGTCTCCAAGACATCGTCGTCAAGTTTGTCGTCTTCAAAGATGTCCTTCTCCGCTTTGTTGCTCTCTTCCTCCATGTCGGGGTCAAGGTTCAAACCGAGGAACCCTCCTGTTGGTATGATCAATAATCAGTTATCAATAATCAATAACTACTGATCAGTCGTGTCAATGGTTTCCAGATTATTCAACAGATTTGAACCTAACTGACCATATCCAGGTCAAGGTCAAACCGATGGGGTTAGATCAATAAGAACACAAAAAAATACTAGTTCTGTTTCCGGTTTCCCTACCTACCCTATTCTGACAGCCCCTACCCTAATTTTTTTATGGGGAAAACGAGGAAAAAACACCCAAACCATCAATTTCTACCTTTTACCCGTGACTACATGCAGACGCCTCCATATGATCAGACACACACAAAAAATTGGCACAAAAAAAACATTCCCTACCTACCTACCCTATTTTCGAAAGCCATGTAATCGGAAGCAGAACTATTTTTTTTTGGCCTTATCAATGTCAATAATCAATGATCATTTTCAGGTGCCGTATTTTAGCCACATTTGTAAATGCCTGGTGGTACACTGCCCCTTGAATAGGCGCTGTTATTATCACCCTAGCTGCATTTATGACCTAGGTTGGACGACATCTTCACTGCATAGTGAACAAAACTTGCAAAATTTGTTTCTCCATATTTTTACCCAATGGAGGAAGCTTGAAACTTGTTTGCATATTCCTTGTGTCCAAAATTTCAAAGATGCTCGTTTAGAAATGATTAAAATTTATTTATAATCAATACCCCATAATAAATAATTGATGAAAGAAATTCCTAGAAGAAAACTCAAAGGTTTTAAAGATGTAATAAAGACATAGGTTTTATTTAATATAATAGCGACGATGTCAAGTTTCTTACCAAAGCCGTCCGTGAACTCCTCAAGAGTCAAGAATCCATTTCCGTCATCGTCGAGTGAGTCAAAGACTTCTTCAAGTTGCTCGGGTGAGAGGGGCAGCTCCCCGTCCAACCGCTGCATGTCGCGCCGGCAGACGAAACCCTTCTCCTCCTTGTCGCAGACAATAAACAGCTCCCTTGCTTTGTCTGCGATGATGCGCTTCATGTCGTCATGCGAGGGCGCCATGTCCGAAGTGGCAAGTTGCGACTCCATTTTTGCCGATTGCAATGTCTCTTGTTGTTTTGTTGCGAATAAATTAATGTGATTTCACATTTGAAAATGTTGTTGCTTCACGTTTTTAACTTTCAACTTTTGTCATTGAGGATTGGCGACTACTGGATTTAGTGTTTTCAATTTTGAAATCCAACCTCAAATATATTTCTAAATGTTGGAAAATTTCATTACTTTGGGAAATTTGGAACACTTTTGAATTTTATTAAATATTAGCATTGGCTACAAATTCCTTTGAAAATTAGGTGCATCAGAAGTGAATTAATGTTTTATGGAAAACTGTTTAATAATGACTTGTGGAAAATATTTCTATCAAATGTCTTTTGGAAGACAACTTCGGCAGCGAATTACATGCATTTCTCTTGACTGAGGCAAAATCTGGCTGATTGGAAGATTTCTTGAGCTTTTCTTGTTTGATATTTTGTACTTATTTGGATTATCCAATTAGATTGGGACTTTCGTCACGTGTTGGAATTTTTTTCTTAAAAGTTGGAAACAAAGATCCTGATCAAATGTAATCTGTTTTATTTTCTTCTGTCTTTATTTTATCAGATCTGCGGCAGGCACTGTCTTGTTCATGTTTGTCGCTCCAGTTACTTGTTAGATTTTTCCGAGCGTCTAGTCTCCAGTTGTTGTTTTTCTGCTGGTCAGTCAAGATGTGCATTCACTCATCTGTAACAGCGAACAAGAAATTTTAAAAACTCATTAAAATCAAGACCAGTCATGCCGGCGCATGCATGAAAGTTTCCCTCTGGAAGTTGTAGACACAGACATTACAGACAATTGTAAATCAACACGGGCCACTAGGCCCGAAGAGGACAGGCAAGGTCGGCAACGTAAAATAAATTGACTGGAACAAAATTGGAATTGAGGGCAGTACACCATTGCTGACCGTAGATGCAAATAACCCACTGGGGGAACCAGTTATTAAGTTCAGCTCGGGTCATTATCTGTGTCCAGGCCACTAGCAGATTTTAAACACACTTGTTTAATACCGGCCAAGCATTTATTCCCATTTATCAATACCTTTTCGGTCAAAAAGTCCAATTAAGTGAAAAAGTCACAAATTTCCACAATTTTTTTCAACAAATTTACTTCACTTTTTCCAGGCTGGAACACCACTCTCATCGTGTCTGTGGTATGTGCCTCGCGCGCGTAGTGCTAAATATCTCTTATGGAGATTGGCGCATGCGCGGCGCATGCGCGGCGCATACTGCGCGATTTGGTGTAGAACGCAGCGGTTTAAAACCACCCACGTGACAGGCTTTCGACCAATAGGAATGGGTAAAACCGTCTTCTAAAGGTATAATTTATGAATATTTTTTAATACCTGAAAATGACTTTTCCTCAAAAGATAACATACATTGTACTGTCATGACTGTGTTAGATACATGGGATGTGCATGTGCATACATGTACATGTAGAGTGCTGTGGTCCAATGGTTATGGTGACCACAAATTTGTATCCTTGTGGAGACACGCACACAATAGGGAACAAAACATTGTAAAGGTCTCCACAGGGCAATTTCTATAGATGAATAGGTCTCCACAACGTTTTCACGAAATAGATATATGGGTTTTACTCAAAAACTAGGAATTTCCAAGGTGGGTTGATCCGTCGCAAATGGAAGAGTTTTAGAAAAGGGATATTAATTCCAAATTTCAGCCAAGGAAACTAATTCTGGTTAAAATAAGAGCATTTTGAAACTTCACTTTCAAAATTGAACACTTTACTACACGAGAACAAAGAAATGTCTCCACAAGGATACAAATTTTGGAATGGGTGTTCAAGCCATGTTATACAATGTACAGGTACATGGGTTCAAACCCTGACGGGGAACATGATACTTGTGTCCTTGGGCAAGACACTTTACTACAATTGCTTCTCTCCACCCAGGAGTATAAATGGGTACCTGTGAGAGTAGAGACTGTGCTGATCTTAAAGGGAATATACAACATTTGCAAACATCGAAAAATAAAACTACCAAGTTTTCACAAAATGCCTCGTACTAGGATGTTGGTAAATGACAGTCTGAAGCGTCCTGTAAAATTATGGCACCTGGTGTCAAGTCATTTTCAAGAAAATGGTATTTTTGTATACATTTCCAACGGTGGTCGGCCGACCACCGTTGGAAAAACCAAACTATTTTTCAACTACTGCTCCAAATTTACAAAAAAAAATTTCAGTCCAAATTTTGTTTGCTATTGGTTACATGTTCATGAACGGGTGCAGGCCAGCTACATTGTACATGTAGACTGTTTCCCTTACCTTGCAATTTTCCGACATCTATAAATTGATCCATTTTATCTTTAGTGGAGTCAGGGAACCAGACTACTTAAACAATATTGTTTTTCTTGGTTTTTCCAACCTTTTCGAACACAAAACTTGAAACACATCAGTTAAGCAATATTTGATCTATGATACTAACCCCTCAAATAGCTCATTTCTGAAAATTACAGCAAAAGCCAATGATGTACATTCCCTTTAAGGCAGAAAAATTGTCATGTGGCCCGTTGAACAAGTGTAATAATTGTGAAGCGCTTTGAGTACCTTGGTGGAAGGTGTTAGATGTACATGTACCGGTATGCACCACACATTATTATTACTTCAATGTATTCAGTTTTTAATTTGAATACAATGTATGTACATGTACATACATGTAAGCCTAAATCAAATTAGGTTTTGCCCTTCAGCATGTAGGCCTACGGGGTACATGCATAACCATACAAATGTATATACAAACGTAAAATTAGGTAAATCAAATTAGGTTTTGCCCTTCAGCATGTAGGCCTACATGCATAACCATACAAATGTACACATCAAACGTAAAATTAGGTGTCTCATCCATGAACATGTATACATATTCTATGGATCCTGATTTGACCTTATCATGTCATGCATACATTTATTTATTCTGGTCGACCCACATTTAATGCGGCACTACAGGTACCATTTAACGTTACCCCGTACAGCGCTGATAGCAGAGACGTTTGTGTTGTCCGGTAACGACGATATGTGTCAACTCAGGATTATACCTGTGTGTACCGGTAAGAGGTACCACTTCAGGATATTAAAAGGTTTATATATGAGTAAACTGTACACAGAAAAACAGTACGCCCCAGAAGCAAAAATGTGACCTAGCTGTTCTGTCAAAAGCAGACGCTTCTGGGCAGAGGTTGAAATTGAGATAGGGCAAAAAAACGCTGTGGGGGTGATTTTTATCGATTTTCAAATGTTTGCATATTTGTAATCCTGAACATGTCTAAAATATATTATTAAAGTTTGAAACCCTAATTTGAACTCTACATATACTATTTTTGATGATTTTGATAAGGTATATCAGTTAAAGAAATAACTGACATTTTGTGACGTTCGTGGCCATTTTCTCCGTTTTCTACTTTTCGACACAATGAACTTCAAAATAGCAGAACTCTGCCAAGGAATGACCGGTTTCAAAAATTAAACCACCTATTAAAAGGAAAAAGAACATATATGTTAACAATATGTAAAAATATCATTTTCGACCTTATGCCCAGAAAAGTCTGATTTTGACAGAACAGGTCACAAATGTGAGGCATTCTTGCAAAATAAGACTGAACTGAGCGGAGGTCAAAATGAGGGTTTGCAGGTGTTAGGAAAGAGAATAAAATTCTCCTGACAATACTGTTTGCTGCAATCCAATCGGACATTCCGTTGACAAGTGGCTGCTTAGAGTTCACATTTATAACAACAAAATACTGAGAAAAACGCCTTCAAATTAGTTTCAAGTTTTTCATCCTTAAAAGTGAAAGATGCCAATTATTTTTCCTTGACAACACTTTTATTCCACGATTTTGGTATTATTTCTTTAAAATATGTGCAGTAGACATATTAATTATCTGAAAATAATCAAAAATCACCCGCATTGGTTTTTTTTTCACATTTTTTTCCACTACTGCCTGAGCCCAGTTCCATCTCATTTTGACAAAACGCATCACAAATTTCACAAATGCAGTAAATTACAACCTGTGTTTCTTGGGCAGTTTACGATATTTTTTGCAGAAAAAATGATAAAATGTACCTCTACACACATTTTTAAGACTACATGTACATTTGTCTGTTTGTGCCTCCCAAAATCCAAGTCATGCTCATGTGAATTATGTGATAAGTAGTTTAATTCGGATTTTGATATTTGTTTTCCTCAAAAAGTTGTTACTTGGTAACATTTTCAAATTGTGCTTGGATATTTGAGCAAAAGAAATTCAAATGTACATGTACATGTACATGTGGATGTGTACATTACAGAAATTTAGAAATTCCCCCACCCCACCCCAAGAGAAAAAAAAATCAATTTGAAAGAGTTACTTTGGGATTTTATTATTGTGTTTTACTACTAACAATAAATTTGTTATAGTACTTCAAACCCAATGTACCTGTACAATGTAGTTCATATGTTCATTACATGAAAACCCATATACACAAAGTACAATACATATTTTATTATAATGTACTACACGTCTAGCCAGCAACAGTCTTTAAATTAAAACTTGCAAAAAAAAATGCACATAATGTACAAATTGTATCATTCAGCATGCAGCTGTGACAAAATCAATAAAATTTTAATCCCCCACCAATGCCTTTTTCCAGAAATACCTCAGCCATGCATAAATTATTCCCAACTTGACCAATGGTGCCACTCCTTCTAATTATGCAAATTTCATAAAAGTGTCACTGGACCAATCAAACAGGTGCTGTTACCAAACTATGTGGGACAGCAGGTGTCATGGCCTGTGGGCAGATTTAGCAGCAGCAATACAATGTACATTGTGAATTTACAAGGTGAAATAAAGGACATCAATGGTTGGGTTAAAAATACATGTCAAGAGCTGATGATGAAATTTCATGTAAAAAACATTCATAAAAAAACCCTGTCATATACATTAAATATGTAATTGTCTGTTAACATTGCTTGACTATGGTATGTTGTTTTCTACATGTACCTC